TTAAATCCCCACTTCATTGACTATTTCGAAAGCCTGCATTTGCATCCCTAGTTCAAACTAGGGTGCAAGTGTAGACATACCCTAAGGCAATTAAAAAAAAACCCGATACCATCTTAACTCTCTGTCCAAGTGTCATGGCACTACTGAACTTCTAATTTTTTAAGTGTAAGCATAAATAAATCTTTAAATAATGTAAAATTTTGTAATGCTCCAGGTTTTAGCATCTCTGCCTATAAACATATACTTTAATTTAGAGAACACCAATCCATAAATATTTAAGAAGCGAAGGAGTTAAAATGTGAACAGTCATATGGTCTTATGTTAGCTCCCTGTCTAAAATATTTTTCTCTCAAGACCATGGATAAGTTTGCAGACAACAAAAGAACAGCTGACGAACTAGTGGCTGAGTTGTGGATTATAAATGCAGCATGGAGGTCTGAAAGCTTTTGTTCTGTAGTGTTTGACCTATATTTGAACTACTTTTTTCGCTTTTATGGCAGGGAGGGGGGAGAATTCAACAGTACACTTCATCACTCCTAATGCAAATTGTAAGTGACTGTTTCTTTGTCCTCATAATACACAATATGTAAGAAAAAGCCAGGCATCCTGCTTGTTTAGAAATGCTGCCAGTAGGTGAAAAATTCATTCAAATTGCTTTCTTTCTTTGATGATGATGCTGCCAGCAAGCAAGATCAACTTTCAATAGCTGTTGCTCTCTGGCCACACTTGATGTGTACAACATGCTGTCCTACAGGTAAGGAAATTGGAAGGCAGGTAGTCAGTAAAAAATAGTAAGATTCCTGAGACACATAAATGAAGGATCCTGATTATAAAATATGATGCACTACACAATCCAGTTTAGATGTGAAAGAAGCTCTCAGGCTCTGTTTAACCAATCCACCATATTCAAAAAGGTCAAATAGGGGCGGTTTTGGAAGAATACAGAATTTTTATGGATTGGAAGCAGAGACAGGCAAGCCATGGGACATCTGTGTGACCCTTTAACCTTTTATCACATACATTTAGCTGGGATCACGTATAACTTAGGCTTAGGACTTTCCAAATGTGTCCCGTGGTCAATATTTTTCTTTAAGGGCAAACTCACATGATAACTTGTGCATAGTCAGAAGAGATCGTGGTAAAAGCAAGGATACTGGAAGTCAAATGAATGGAGTTTTTAAGCTGGAGCTGATCCAGTGCTGGATTCACGAAGTTCAACACATTTGTATAGCATCATTTTGAAAGGGGGAAATTCTCTACAGTGTCTCTTGGTTTCATACCAAATAATCCAGAATCAACATAATTTCTTCTTGCTACAACCAATTAACATACAGTCTGCATTTTCAGGTAGGTAGCAGTAGATAGATACATTCCATTATTCTATAAGTTATGCTTATGGACTCTAGATTGTCTCACAATGCACAAATGAGCAGTACAAATATTATAAACACAAATTCATAAAGATGTCTTATTTTGAACAGCTTAATGAGTTTCAACACTCTACAGCCTAAATAGAAACATTTATCAGCCTCAACATTGGCAGGTGAGTTATGGATCCAATACCACAGTTTTCTACAAAAATATGAAATAAATTAGACAAGGAATTACTGAATTATGACACATTGAAAACAGAGCTGTAAATGGAATTCAAAAAGATGTCAGTTTTCCTCAAAGGCTTGAAAAAAAATATTTTTGACCTACCTACTTGAGACAGATCATCCAACACCAGCATTGTATTGATTAAAGTCCAATTGCAGAAGTTATTGTTTTGTTTTCTATCTTGAAAACATTACAATGGATTGCTGGAAACCTAAACTTTCCTTAGACAAATAGGGTAAAAACTTGTCACCATGGAATTCAGTAGCACTGTTCCCACTGATTTCAGTGGGGCCAGGAATTTACATAAAAACTTCAGCCCTTTTCCTTGCAGAGACAGATGGTAAATTGTAATTCAGTTGTTATACAGCTATCTATTATAGATTTTAGAGAGAATATGTGTCTGTCTGTCTGTCCATCTGTCTCACTGTGAGTCTGTTTGGTCAAGAACACCCTTTAAATTAATATAATGAGGAGTGCTGTGGTACCTGAGAGATTTAATAAATCTAGTGGCCTAATAAATCTAGTGGTCTCTAAGGGTACGTCTACACAGCAACATTATTTTGAAATAACTAGTGTTATTTTGAAAGAATTTAGTCCATGTCTACACAGCAGGCAGTTATTTTGAAATAATGTCGAAATACTGTCAAGCTGAAGGCCTTCTTACTCCGACTCCTGTAGCACTTATTGTACGAGGAGTAAGGGAAGTCATAGGACGAGTGCTCTGTTTTGAAATAACGCTGGGTAGATGCTCCCAATTTCTAAATAAGCTATTTTGAAATTACTCCACAATTGACATAGCTCAATTTGTGTAGCTTATTTTGAGTTAAGACATGCTGTGTAGATGCACCTGAGAGGGGAAAAGTTCCATTGTGCAACTTCTGGAACACACTAGAGTTTCTAAAGACATGTGTGTCATGCGCCTTCCCTGACCACTCGACAGAGATGTTGGTGAACTGGCCCCCGTGGTCCATAATGGCCTGCAGGACATCGAGAAGTATCCCTTCTGTTTGATGAAGAGAGATGCCCACCCAGTGGTCGGGGGCCCAGATAGGGATGTGGGTGTTGTCAATAGAGGAAACCCATGTCAGCAAAGCCAGCAATGATGGCATCCACATCGCTGAAATGGATGACCCTGCGCAGCAGGCAGGTGTTCACAGCCCTCATGAGCTGTAGAAGGAGACAAACAGAGATTTGCAGGGGTGCCCGGGCCCTTGGGAGTTCCCCCAGCTCACCCCCTGTATCCTCTCCCCCCCCACACACACCAGGAGCAATCACCCCACTCACCTCAACCCCCAACAGGGCTTTGTGAGGGCGGGACTGAAAAAATCTCCCAGGGAGGAGGCTTGCACCACCACTCCAACCCCTAATCCCTAGGGAAACCCATTCCAGCAGTCCCCCCCACTGCCCGGAACAGTAGCTCGAGAGCACCACACCTGCATGAGACAGCCCCAACAGTCGATCTCCCAACACTGAACTGGTTCCCGATGGATCGGTAGCTATCTGGCATGGCAAGCTTCCAGAGGGCGATGGTGACACACTTCTGGAGTGGTATGGCAGATCTCATGTGAGTGTCCCATCACCTGAAGGCAGGGGCAAGCCACTCACAGAGCTCCAGAAATGTATCCTTCCTCATTCTGAAGTTCTGGAGCCATTGTGGTGGGTCTCCCCACCGCGCCATAATGATCCGGTCCCATCAGTCTGCATGGTGTTCAGGGGAGGGCGGGCAGGTGGGAGGGATCTAACTGCATGAGTCATAGGCAGAGGTCCAAGTAGGGTCTCCCAGAGGAGCTAGGGGTTGGGTTCCTGCAGGGCCTGGGCTGCAGCCTGCAGAAACTGCTGCATGAGTTGCAACACAAGCTGCAACAGTCATAGACTGCCCAGCATCTGTATAGGGAAAGTGATGGAACTCACCTGAAGTGCTTTTCCTGGGATTGTATGAGCCCTGGGAGACCTTCTGGGAGCAGGGGACTGGCTCTGGGCTGAGGATCAGGTCCTGGCTAGTGGGCATGGTGTCCTGCCTAGCCTGTTCCCCCTCCTCTTCCTCATGGTCATCCTCCTCCACAACCCCACCCTTGTTGAGGCTGGAGTCACTGAAGATGTGGGAGAGGTGATCAGCCCTACTCCCAGGATGGTATCCAGGAGCAGCAGGTATGCACTGCTACCCCAGAGCAGGAATTTTGCTCCCTGGCCTTTGTGTAGCCCTTTAGGTGTTCTTTAATTTTCATTCAGACCTGTTCCAGAGTCCTGGTGTGCCCTTTCTCCTCTAGGCTGCTGGCTATTCAGCCATAGAGATTGGCATTCCACTTCTTGGAAGTTGGTCTCTTCCCCCCAGACCTTGAAGAGATCCAGGACCAGTCCAGGCTGGTGCCCTCTTTTGCTCCTGGCCAGGGGCGTTGGAGGGTGCTGCAGGCATACTGGCAGCTGAGGGGGGCACAGAGGGAGTGCTGGGGTCACTCATGGCTCCAATGCAGGGTGCTGTGTGGCGCAGGGCTAGCAGGGCTCTCCTGGTGCCACAAGCCTTTTCCTTTCTGCCTGCAGTTTTAAACTCTGCAGGAGAATGGGAGCATCAGAGTTGTCAGGGGTGTGGCCAAAGTGGCCACAAGGGCAGTTGTGAGAACCCTCTGGAGGCAACTGAGCATCCACACTAATGCTATTTTGAAATAACGATTTAGAAATAAGTGTTATTCCTCATGACAAGCAGGAGTTGTTATTTCAAAATAACCTGGCCTTTATTTCAAAATAACAGGCTTGGTAGTGCGGATGCTCTGCTTGATATTTCAAAATAAGGAGAGTTATTTAGAAATAACTCCCTAGTGTAGACCAGTAGACTCCTCGTTTTTGCAGATGCAGACTAACATAGCTACGACTCTAAGACATTCTCCTAAATGGTAAGAGTTAGGATAATCACATTTCGTATACAGCTTCCTCTTATCATAACTTAAAGCAAGGTCTGGATTTGGTTGTGCCAGAACAATGGGATGTGCCTGGAATGTGATTATTTTCTTACAAAACAGAAAAAGGAGAGGTCTGCTAGCAGGGACAGTAATAGTGTATAATGGCCACAGGGGGACCAGCAAAGGGCCAGAGATGGGGACTAGGATAGCTATAACAAGGGCAAGAGTGGAGAAAGGGACAGCAATCTACCATCATATATCTAAAAGCTTGTTTGTGTGTTTGTCCCGCAGCTGAGGGATTTCCACCCTTCCCCAGAAGTGCCTGTTGCACCCACAGCAACCATGGACAACCATTTCTCACCTGGCCCCAAGCTGCTGAGGTAAGAGGGGCCAGGGTAGTCCATTCTCATCTCTAGCCCCACATCTGAGAAATTATTTAAATGAAGAAAAATTAAAAATTATTTTAATTAAGGATCTGAGCAATACCAGTTAAATCTTCTAGTTTTATTATAAAAAGAATAAACACATCATTGTCTTGCAAGGTGGACTGATGAGATTCTTAAGTATGGTGTGGCATTCAGAGCCCAGCAAGTGTCCTAAGGCTTCCTAATAAGGTTCACAGGAAGTGAGGGAAGAAATGTCTCTCCAGTATTCTTTCTTGGTTGCTCTGATACTCTGTGATTTGCAGCAGTAAGGCTTCCTGTGAAGAAACAGTATATAATGAAGATGAGAAGGCATTTTACATTGTGTAGGCATGGATAAAATGTAACTCCTGTGGATGGATAAGATAGCATGCTTTTCTGATATTTTCCCACAGTCTCTTAAGGTTATTTAAAAAGTGTAACCTTCACCCCATTTTAAACATCTCTGGGTTGTTTGCAACTCTAATATATTTGAAAAGCAATATGCACTGGAACACTGGTATGTGCCTGCAACAAGAACTTCATTTTAAAGATGTAGTTTATGGAGGAATATACAGTTGCATTATATAGACTGTAAAAAACCAATACTTTGCTTATTGAAAATGCATTTAGGAGGAGAGATTTCAAATGCACAAATGCTGGTTAAGCAACCAACTCCCATTGACTTTTAATGTTGAATGCCTATGGCCTTTTGTGCCTTTTAAAAACCTCCCCCTACATTCTTATGAATAGCTGCTCATGCATGTAAATATAAATCTGAGATTAGGAAAAGTCTTTTTAAAAAACACATTAAGTAGAACCTTACTCAAACTTCAAAATACCAAAGCTCAGCATCCTGTCTACTCCTGTAAACATGCTTAGAGCAGAAGAGGAAATGGATAACCCTTAGTAAGGGGGGATAGGAAAATAACAATAGTGTGAAGAAAGTAGACAATAATGAAAAGATATTTTGTTTTCTATAGATTGATAGGACCCACATCCTAAAGTCTGACCGTCTTTCTTTTCTTCCTTCACTGCTGTTTTTCTTCTTCACGTTGTTCCTAATTACTCTGTATTGTTTCTATAATCTAGGTTTATTAGTTCAGTAGTTCAAGTCTTAATATTCATTCACAGCTTTAAAAATGAATCGTGTTATGCAAATACTAATTATTAGTATAGTGCCACAAATTCTATGCTGAACTTTAGCTGTTGTTATATTCCAACATAAACATGACATAATTTACCCTAAGGGTACACATTAAGGCTGGTAATTTGATTACTTTTATTGGAACACCAAAAATATATAAGCTTTCAGGATGAAAATGTTCATTTTTCAGCTGTTAGCACTAATATAACAAGTAGATATGTATACTAAATGAGCTGTATTGTCCAATATACTACAAACTTAATGTATTAAAAGCTTTCTGTTGCACAATATAAAAGTGTATATGGATTTTGAAGGCATTGTCCACTTCATAGCAGGGAAAGCCTTTCATGTAATTGCCAGCATTTAAAAGATACCCTTATGTATTCAAATTAATAGGTCCAAAAAAGAACAACAACAACAAAAAGATTTGCCCCATCTTCTGAACTGGGTGCAAAGTCTCAAAAGTTCACACAGATAAAAGTATTTTCCTCCCTTATATAAGCTTGTGATTCCACCTAAGCATATTGATGACTTTACTGTTATTTTACAGCTGCTCTAGCTCCCTAGGAAAAACAAAAAGCAGAAAAAAAAACCCAAATACAACAAACCAAAAAAAAAATCCCACCAAACTCTCTCAAGCAGAGTTTTGATCCTGAAAAGAAAGAAGAGCCAAAGACTCTGCAAAGTCCACTAGGGAGCACTTCTATTGATTTTTAAGTGAAAGAGGCTCAGATAATACCATGATGGGGAGCAGTATAAAGCCCTAAGATATGAAGATAGGTAAACATTGAACAGGAGCATCATTGGTTTACATTATTCATATATATTTTTTCAGCACTTGAGGGCATGATGGACATACTAATTTTAATGGACCAGATTGTTCTTTCCTATTTGAAAGAGAGAATTTGGAGTGAAAAATCTCTAAGGGTATATCAACACTGTACAGCCATCATTCTCCCAACACTATTGTATGGGTCTGAAACCTGGACAACCTAAAGTTATCACTTAAAAGTCCTTGAGAGATATCACTAATGCTGCCTCTGCAAGATCTTGAAGATCAAATGGGAAGACACTAACATCAGTGTTCTAGAAGAGGCTAAGACCCCCAGTATTTAGACAGTGATCATCCATCAGCAGCTTTGCTGGAATGGTCATGCTGTTTGGATGTCAGACCATTGCCTTCCAAAACAGGTCCTGTTTTCTCAGCTGAAAGAAGGATACCATAACATGGGAGGACAAAGGAAATGTTATAAGGACTTGCTAGCTTATGGATAACTTAAAGAAGTGCAGCATTGATGTTGACACTTGGGAGACACTCGGCCAGGATTGCTCAAACCGAAGACCAGTCCTACCCAATGACCCCCTGCATTTTGAACTTGCCCGCTGACAAGCTGAGGAGGAGAAGCGGTGCAGGAGGAAGAGGAGACTGGCTTCTAGTCATGGTCAATAGCCTCCTGCTGTACCTGGAAACATCTGTCTTCACTGTAACGGAACTTGTGGTTTAAGGATTGGCCTTATCAGCAACCTGAGGGTCCACAACACTCATCACAAACAGAATAAGACAAAATCCAGGTGCACAAGAGCTAATGCAGTAAATATGATGGGTGAAGTAGAGGAAAAAAGAGTTGAAGTGACTAACTAAAGGACTCACAGGAAGTCAATGGTTGGATCAAGAACAGCATTCATGTCTTATAGCTTCCAATCTAGTGCCCAGGTTGGTAGACCACATGAATATAAGCTGAAAACAGGAAGTAATGGTATGAGCCAAGCCAAGAGAAATTTCCTAAAAACTAAAACGGGAGAAAGATAATTAGAGCAATAAAAGAATTTGAAGGGAATGGAGTCAAGGAATGGACTGATCTAATGGAACTGGGGTGATTGAGAACTAAGTCAGGATGTCTTTTGAACATACCAAGAGACCAGACTTATTCTGAGGTCAGCTCAGAAAACAGACTATATAGGTAAAAGCCAAACGCTATATAGTTCTTACATGCCACCAATGAGTTTCTTTACCTTGTATTTCAGCCTTCCTAGTCTGTTTGGGTATGTCTACACTACAGTGTTATTTCAAAATACCTTGTTTCAAAATAGTTATTTTGAAATAGATTATTTTGAAATAACGCTTCTATACACAAAATGCATTTCAAAATAGTGTTTTGCTATTTCAAAAAAATGAGTCCACACTGAGTGGACTCTGAATCTCATTTAAGGCTGGCCAGAACCAGTTCCAGCCGGGCACCAGGTCAGGACTTACTGTGTGGGGCTGCTGCCTGAGGCTATCTGAGGCATGTGCTTAAAGGGATGCCCTCCCTCCCTGGATGGCCAGTACTCAGGTTTCCCTGTTTTCTTGCCTACCTTGATGAGGGACAGTAAAGCATTTTGTTTCTGTGTGTTCTGGTTGCCCTCACTCGAGATACCACAGCAATCTGCAACATGGAGCCAGAGCTGTCTCTGGACACTCTGGTGCTTCTCTTGGATGCATTGTTGCAAGTCTGACTGCACTTTCTGCAGGCTGCCATCCGGGAGGTCCATTGAGGGGCTGTCAGTATCCAGGAGGCCCTGTGAGAGAGCGTCCACCCTGAGGAGCACTAAGAGCCTCCCTGGTCTGCCCCACTGGGGGCTTGTCCCTCATTCCTACCTCACGTCCTTCCTCTTATAACCCCCTAACCCCCCTTCATGATGTCAAATAAAATACACGTATTTTCATGAACACAAACTCTCTTTATTTAACAAAACTGGGAGGGAGGGAATGAAACTCTGGTGAGACTGGGGAAAGGAGGCAGGAGAGGGAAGAAGAGAGGATGGGAGAGGGGAGGGGGAAAACTGGGAGGAGGGAGCTGGAAGCAGGAAGCAAGGGGAAGAAGGGGGAGGGAATCTCAGGGCTCAGGGTTGGGGTCTCGCCAGACCAACTTGATTGTCATACAAACCTGCTCCTGGGTTTGCATGTGGCCTTTGGTGGCCAGGCTGGCAGCTATGCTGCCTTAGATGGCCTCATTCCTCTGTCGAGTGTGGAGATCATGGATGTTGGGGGCATACCCCTCCCAATCCTGAATAAGGTCCATGATCTCCACCCTGGACCAGGAAGGTGCCCACCTTCTCCGGGCCCTGGCAGGCTCCTTGTCGTGGGGAGTGGTGGAGGGCTGCCTGCCAGTGGCTTGCTGGCTTATATTTTGGGACCACTGGGTCAGGGGCAGTGACTGCTGGCACTGGGCTGGCAGGCTTGGAGTTGGCACAGGCACTGTGGCCAGAGTCAACCCCTTTAAGGGCTCCTTAAGGGAGAGGAGTGTTCTTGGTTGAGGCTGGAGTGGCCACCAGGGCACCCTGGGAAGGCTGGAGGCCCCCTATTTCGAAATAAGTGTCTACACAGCACCTCGAGGAGTAACGGTAGTTCGGAATAGGAAGCCTAATCTGAACTACCTAGTTCGAGCCGCGTGTAGCCGCGGGCACGGAGTCCGAACTAGCGGACATTTAAAAATGGCGGCGCCCGGCAATATGCAAATGAAGCCCGGGAAATTCAAATCCCGGGCTTCATTTGCAACTTCGGCTGCCTACATTAACCACCCTAGTTCGAACTAGGGTGTAGACATACCCTTTGCTGTGTAGAGATACCCTTTCAGAGTTAATCTGATTCTATATGATTCTCCACCATTTTATAAGCTATCAAATAAGAATATATGTACGTCGATAGCACTAAAGAGTTACCATACCAGGACATCAACTCCTTTGAGTTTCAGTAAAGGGGAAGCATGAATTTCTAATACAAATGCAGCTTTCTCTAACAAAGACTAACCTGCACTTTAAGCTCCTTTGTTTTAAATCCCCCACATTCTTTCAGTTTATTTTCAAGAAGCAGTTTTTAATGATTTTACTGTAGTATATCACTATGATCATTAAAGGTCAGAGCCAGCTTTCTCTGAGGCCAATGGGATTTTTGCAATTGGTTTTTACTGGGAGCAACTTCAGGTCATATGTATGAGAGATGGATATCACTTTTATAGGAAAAAAAATGTAGAATGTTTTCAGTACAAAAAGTTCCAGGTATTTCATGAATTTAACAAGTAACTCCCTTGGATTAAATAAGGCCCCATCGGGAGAGAGGAGACAAAAGCAGCGGAAAGTTCCTGAAGTTGAGAATGAGACAAAGTACAGATATTGGCATGAATAATGGTGCTGGAGCAGATCCAAGTCTTAAAATCAGAGGAGAGCAGATTGAGTTGGAGACTAAGGGTGACTCAGAGAAATTAGGGAAAAATGATCTTGGAAAACAAAGGATTGTAGAGATTAAATAACAAGGTAGAGTTGTAGAAAGGGTATTCAAATCTCATAGTAAAAGGGATCTTAAAGATACTATTTCAATCCAAAGAGGAGACAGAAATTTCATACGCTAATAATCAGGGCTCGCCAGCCACGGTGTCCAGTAATCTGCGCATGCGTAGATCGCCAGAACCCGGCTCTTCCTGGTTACAATCTACTTGCCATGGGCTGTTGCACCAGCTGCTGTTGCAGTATGGAGGGCACAACAGAACAATTTGGCATATAAGCCACAAGGTCACATCTAGGCCAAAATCATTATAACCTGAGGCTGGGGCTAAAGCGATCACTGAAATGTCTGTTCTATACTATCACCATGTAATATAATGGCTCGGAGGGCATCACTGAGAGGGTCAAATCAGGGTGAATTGCTTAGAAACAGGGTTACTTACAGCCTAAGACTGGGTGTTCTCCACTATAAGACATCAAACCAGACACTAAGAGCACTTCAACTGCCACTCTGGACAGCAAGAAATAACAAAAGCAATTTGCTCAGCACTCCAGATTTTCCTGTGCCGCAATCAGTACTGCACCTTGCTTAGATGAGAGGTTATGAAAACCATTCTCACCAAATCCCAACACATTCTTAATCAATTTATACCTTATATCTTACTCAAAATCGCACACTGTGACAGATCTTCAGAATCTAAAATCTAAAGATTTATTATTAAAAAGAAAGAAAAGGTGAGAGTAGAATTGTTAAAGAAATTACATACCGTACACCAATCACAAAGTTCCTGGTGCAGGCTCTTAGAAGAGAAGGAACAAACTGCCATCTTCAAAGACTTTGGAATATAAATCCTTCCTTCAAAGCAAAGCTGCGTCTGAAGTGATGAGCTGGAGTGAAGACAAAGATGGAGGATACTCTAGGGTCCTTTTTATAATTTTGCCCACGTGGACGAAATTTTGTTGTTCTTGCCCAAAAGGGAGTTTGTCCCAGGAGCAAGTCATATGTCCATATGCTTTTTAGGCAAGTGGCCACGGGTTGCATGTTTGACTGCAGGTTTGCTGCAGAATTCCTCAAGAGTTGTATTGGCAACAATTAAGGTTCATTGTTTGCCAAGTACTGCTATTCACTTGAGTAGATACTCTTCATAGTAGGTGGGTAATGCTTGTTGTTGACTCCCAGAGGTAAATAATTGAAATACCAGTACATAGTCAATACTTACTACTTGAAATACAAAAATCATATGTGCACATGGACAGTGCAAACATACTCATCAAAGCATAAGCTTTCAAAAGAGACTTCATTTGGGCCACTTTGTACAAAATTTGAGGCAAACATAACTTAGTGGGTGCAACAATGAACTGCATGTTCACACTAAAAATCCAATAATGTCACTCACCACTGCCTAGAATCCTAGGAATATAGAGCTAGAAGAGACCTGGTTATTTTATTAATATTCCAGTTAGCTTGCCTCTTAGGTCCACTTGCTCATCATCTCTCAGTTCAGCAATAAACTTAAGCACATGCTCAAATTTAAGCATGCACACTGTGCTCAAGGGGACAACTGACACACTTTTAGTGTTCAAAAGCTTCAGAGGGATAGCTGTATTAGTCTGTAACTGGAAAAACTTAAAAAACAATGAATAGTCTTGCAGAACCTTAAAGATTAACAAAACATATAGATGGTATCATGAGCTTTCGTGGGCACAACCCACTTCTTCAGATGAATAGAGTAATTAAGGTCCAGATTCTAAATGTATAGGGTATGGGGTGGGGAGAGAAAGAAAAAATAAGGGAAAAAGGGAGAGGGGGAAATAGTCAATTAGAGTGTCTATGCTACATGAAGCTGATAGAGAAGGTGCACTTTTAGTGCAACATGCTTAAACCTCTTGCTGAATTAGGGCCTATAAACTTGATATATAAGTGCAAAACTCCTTGGGCAATTAAGTTTCTCTGCATTTACACTACTGTATTGAGAGAAGACTATAGCCCTTTATTGCCAGTTGGTTTTAGTCCTAGCTATAATGTCTAGTCTTATACACTCATCCTGTCAAAGGATAATGCAGAAGTGAATGAATGTGTATTTAATAGGAGAATGCATTCTCAGCTACTATACTTTGGAATATCCATTTTAGAGACGGGCAGTGGAACCCTGTTCTACTATAAAGGTGAAAGCTACTATAAAGGTGAAATCATTGTAAACCCTGATTCAGAAGTAACATTTACAGTGTCATAGATTAGTGAGCAAACTTCGTCCTGGTCTATAGTACAGAGTTATTTTGAAATAACTCCTATTTTGAAATAACAAGCAGTGTTCACACTGCCAAGCCCGCTATTTCTTAATAAGGCACTGGTTATTTTGAAATAACTCCTGCTTTCCACAAGAATAAAGCTAATTCCGATATAGTTATTAAAAAATAGTGGTAGTGTGGATGCTCTGCAGCTGTTATTTTGGAATAACTACTCCCCAGAATAATTCAAACTAATTGCTCCCCAGTACTTCCTGGGGCTCTAAGATGAGGTAGTACATCCACATTAATTGACCCTGCCTTAGACTAATTTTGAGGCTTCCCCATAGCGTGGATATGGTATTTCAAAATTATTATTTTGGGAGTCATTATTTCAAAATAAGTTATTTCAAAATAATTTCCTAGTGTAAACATGTTCTTCATGTTGATATTGATGATAGGAAGGATGCTGCTATCAAAGATCTGGGGTAAGCCTCACCTCCTTTTGCGCTATGTGAATAAGGCTGATGTGTTAGATAGAGGGGAGGGATATCTGAGGGTATGTCTACACTACCACCCTAGTTCAAACTAGGGTGGTTAATGTAGGCAACCGAAGTTGCAAATGAAGCCCGGGATTTGAATTTCCCGGGCTTCATTTGCATATTGCCGGGCGCCGCCATTTTTAAAGCCCTGCTAGTTCAGACTCTGTGCCCGCGGCTACATGCGGCATGGACTAGGTAGTTCGGATTAGACTTCCTATTCCGAACTACCGGTACACCTCGTTCCACGGGGAGTAACGGTAGTTCAGAATAGGAAGCCTAATCCGAACTACCTAGTCCATGCCGCATGTAGCCGCGGGCCCGCGCGGCTACACGCGGCACGGAGTAGCTAGTTCGGATTAGGCTTCTAATCCGAACTAGCTGTACTCCTCATTCCACGAGGGGTTCGAACTAGCCGGCATTTAAAAATGGCGCCGGCCGGCTTTATGCAAATGAAGCCCGGGAAATTCAAATCCCTGGCTTCATTTGCAACTTCGGTTGCCTACATTAACCACCCTAGTTCGAGCTAGGGTGGTAGTGTAGACATACCCTCAGTGGTTTGAGCATTGGCCTGCTAAATCCAGGCTTGTGAGTTCAATCCTTGACGAGGCCATTTAGGGATCTGGGGCAAAAATCTGTCAGGGATGGTACTTGGTCCTGCTATAGAAGCAGGGGACTGGACTTGATGATCTTTCCAAGATCCCTTCTGACTCTAGGAGATAGGCATCTCCAGTCATATAGTTTGACCACATTGCTCTTCTGTTTAGGTTTGTATGCTGCTCTTATTCCCAAGTGTTTCCAGAGTTAAAACAAACAAAATGAACAAGAACTTAATGATCTAATAGCATCTCAGTTCATATTTGTCAGAGAGTAAAAGGTGGCTAGAGTCTCATAAAAATTGTGTGTTATTTTCAATTATTATTACAACTGTGGTTATTCCTTTGCCCTCCTGCTGCTCTATATACTCCAGTTTACACATGGTTTACACTAGTCCTTTGAACTTCAATTTTGCAGTGGAAGTTCGTGTCCAATGTCATGTCAATAAGGTGTTTTCAGAGTTCCTGCTTTCCTGAATACAAGTTTCCATACTTTAACTATGGCCTTCATTAAATATGGGTATGTCTACACTACCCCGCTAGTTCGAACTAGCGGGGGTAATGTAGTCATCCGCAATTGCAAATGAAGCCCGGGATTTGAATTTCCCGGGCTTCATTTGCATAAAGCCGGCCGGCGCCATTTTTAAATGCCGGCTAGTTCGAACCCCGTGCCGCG